CGAGGGAATTGGGTTAGGTTGGGGGCGTTAATCAGAGGTCAGATAGATGGAGGGATAATTGCTGCTATTTGCACGAAGCGATCGACTGTCACTAGGGAGCGGGGGCAAAATGTGATCGTCACCTGGCGTCGGGGTCGGCCACGGAAGTGTCTAACTGTACAGTTTTAATGACCCCTGCAAATGTGTGGCCTGACGATGATTTGCTGAAAACACTGTGTTTGCCAACTTGACTTCTCAAAAGATTTTCAGTTGCATCAAATAACTTCGACAACGCAAAAAATCTCTTGTATATTTAACATTGTCACCGAATACTCCCCGAAGCTCGCTCACTTGTGGGCACGAAGATAACCTTACACAGTAACTTATAGTTTTTGCAGTGACAACATTTGCGCGGTAAGAGTTGCAAGAAACTGCTACCGGTGGGGTGTTGAGCGAAGTTACCGCGGTGAAAAGTTCTTCAATCTTAGCAATATTACGGAAAAAACTTAAGGTAGAAGGTGACAACCACCTACATAATTTAGACAATCACGGTAAGCGAAAGTAATACACAAAAGCGTTACGGTGATTACTCCTGTATCCGACAATGCGGACATTTTGCATTGCTTGGACAACTGAAACCTATCAAATGGATTTCGATTTTTTTACTAAGATAGACACTGCCAGCAAAAGTCCACGTCTTCCTTGAATGTTATGCCATTTTCGAAAGTTGGATATAATAACGAAGAGGCAACGTTTAAATAATGATTTGGGAAATAAATGACTTTTATTTTGGGTTCATATTTGCGAAAGTAAATATTTTGCATAACCAACAAAAATTTTATCATTTTTCGTAATCTTTATGTCGCAATTGCACAATATTACAAGCGAAATGACAGTTGTAAAGGTAGACATAAATGCAGCTCAAATAAACGTATGCTGCAGATAAATGTATGGATACCACAAATGGATTAAAATGTAGAGGCCAATTCGGATAAAAGTTAAACGTACGTTCGGGTTCATCGGTGATCATTACATAATAGTAGTAGTAGTTTTCAAAACGTCAATAAATCATGACATTACGATGAATTTGGCTTAATTTTATTGCCTTATTTTATTGGCTTAATTTTATTGCATTGGCAATAAATAAACCTACATTTACGCCACCACAGTTATTTATTTCTTGCCAGTTTAATGCTGTTTACATGGGTTACACTCTACCTCCTAAAAAGGCATCAGAAGTTAACATAATGATAGGAAAACTGTTTTGATCGAAATAAATAATTCGTACATCGCTTGCAATGGGACAGCCCTGTAGACCCTGAGTTATAAGGACAACGTGAAACGAAATACGACCTGTCAGTCAGTCTATCCAAATCTTGCAGGTTTACATTTACAAAACCAGTTAATCACTAACTATTTTTCTCACTTTACAGTAAAAAGTTGAACTGCTTAATCTCATTGAATCATATAGTGAAGAAGAGTAAAAAAATACGCGAAAAATAACCTTCACATAAGATGCCATTTTGACAGCTCACCTTTGATTTTGCTGAATACTGTGTATACTTTCTGTTTCGCAACGGACAGGAAATTTGAAGAGAAAATATTACGGTTATAACTTTGGTGAAGAGTACGTTTTATTAGCATTTTTAGCTTAGCGGTTAGAGCGTTGGCTTCTGATAAAGGCTTATTCTAATACGCGGGTTCAAATCCCGTCGAACGCCTCAAATTTTTTCACAATCGGGTCAACTCAAATGAAACAAATTTTCCAAACCATTAATAAAAGAAGTTTAAGTAGTGCATCTCATATACCCCTAGTCCCAGCATTTTTAAATACAGAAACGGCGGTCATAGGGTTTTTGGGGTGGGGAATAGGATACGCAGGTAGGGAGATTTGTAGAAGTGTAAAGTGAAAACATGTAGTCGATATTTTTCCCTGTGACCGCTGGGAGTAAGATCTTCTGCATGAAAATTGAAGGCAAGAAGGCGCTTTGAGCCGCAGACTACACTAGTCTAACTGCAGAACGGTAAGTCAGACTTCAGGTAAGTGGAACCAGGCGAAATCCTAAACACCGTTTCTATTTTTCAGGATTTTCAAGAAACCTGTAGTTTGATAATCGGGTTTTTCCGCAATATGTTAAACGATAATATACATTAGGATAGTCTACAGATATAAATCAACAGCATTTCTGAATACAATAAAAAGGTATATAGCAGTTATTAAAGTATATTCCACTGCCTATCTTGATTCCCCACTCTTAAAACCCTATAACCACCGTTTTTTTAAGACAAAAGCCTGGCTCCAGAGTTTAATGAGGTGCACTACGTAAACTACTGTTGCCGTTTTATTGAGTGACATGTTGAATGAAGGTGCAGGCTAGAGTGTGTAAATTTTTACTTTACGCACAGAAACAATGAACAGTATTGCAGCGGGTCAGTTTCATGCAAGATGAGCATATCGAATTCAAAGACTAAGAAGCTCCGCGCAAGAAGGAGAATCAAACATGGGTTTAAAAGCGAAATAATTATTTGCAGGATTTAGAATGCTTTACAAGGTCTGTATTCGCATTGAGCTGGAAAAATGTAGCTTTGAAAATATTTATAGGGTCAATATTGGACATAATAAGTGGCGCAAATTACGCCAGCTTAGAATGCCATCATCTCTTTCCTTTTATTTAGTTTAAATCCGGATAGAAACGGCTTCTTCTGCCATTAAGCTGAATGCTATTCTAAGCTATCTCTATCTCCGAAAATCGAATCTATGAAATAACTATCGCGTAACAATTGAATAATTTCAATACCCGTCCCCTCTGAATTGTAAATGAATTATACTCATCGAAATGGTCTGCTTTTGGGATACGTTCAGTGACTTAAAAGATGACATTGATTACCAAATATCGCAATTCATTATAAGCATTATGAGAAGGCATAATTTGTACTTACATATATCTCTTCTTCCCGCGTATGCAGCTCCTTCCCATTATTCCACTTAGGCAATAGGTATTCTGTGTAATAGGAGAGATACAACTCAAGCAGATAGGCCTCCAAACTACGTGTCACAGTGAACCAGTTACCGCTGCTCAAGCGTCACTAATAGTGCAATCGCGTCTCATGCGACCTTTCTACGAACCAGTCACCGGCTGTGCGTGCAATATGCGTGACACTGAGGTAAGGGTCTAATAAAAGCATCCAACTGGATCTGAAAAAGCCTTCTTTTATTATATTTTAGCACGATGCGCATGTCTAGATGCAGAAAGTATATGATTCATCTGCAAGTTCAATTCATTTACTTCTATGTGTGGGTGTACTAATGACTACACAGCTAGAAGGAAACTAATTTTAGCAGTTTTGAGAGTTATAAATTTCTCCTTTATAAAAGCAACAGGCAAATAATCCGTTTAGGAGGAGCTCCTATTCAATTAAACAAAGTAGTTGGGTTATGAATAACATTTGCTAGAGCTCAAAGTGACAGAGTATTTCTATAGCATAAAAAACTCCAGAGTTATTTCTGCTTGCCCAAACTCACCACGGTGTAGGCCTTGCTAACGCATGCTTTTTGAGTTTACTGTTAAATCAAAGTTTGCTTTTTAGCCGTACTTAACACGTAATTCAACTGCGCGGCCTTAGTTGCAGCTTACTGAGCTGCCATAGTTTACTTAGCAATCACACCGGAGATTTCGAGTGATATTCGTTGGAAAGAAATGTTCTAGTCTTAAAGGTAACAAATATTCATGTCGCTTTTAGCTTATTATTGACCGTATTGCGATTGGAAATTGACGAAATAGAATCTAAATAAGTGAGGCCACTGAGAGCATCACTTTTGGAATTCTACTCAAATCTATCAACTTCGTTTCCGCATGGGGGCTGGTGTTGTTATTTTCAGCAAAATAGACACATGACTGAACCACTCAGGCCTGCCTCCCAGAAGTTTCGATTGAACTCGAGTCTAGTTTTTTTCTCCTGCCTTGAGTTTGAAAGTTATATTTCTCTGCTGACTGTAACAGTAACAATTCTCGTCGCCATTTGCCGCAGTTTGCGCAGCTTCAAACTGCAGCCGCAAGACAAAGTGGGATCGCTTTCCCTGCATACCGCAGTTAGAAAAAATATCGGCCGGAGCCACGTTTCATGTGTTTTTTTGCAAAGACGTTCGAGGGACTGGCAGGAATAAGACGCAAAACAGCTGTCCAACACTTTCCTCTAAAGGCACTGGGTCCGTGGACAACCCGATTTAACTGCTTTCGGGTCGAAGTCACATTACCACACATTACCAATGAAGTTGTTGTGTAACGCTATTATCTGTTCCTAAAAATGGTTCTTCGGAAGTCTGGGTAATTATCCGCGTACTTATCACATTTAACTTAAATGCGCAATATTGCATGTTGCCTGTATTGTCAAGCTAGGAGTCATCTGCGTGAAGACTGGGCATAGGATTTTTCTCTTTCTATATCCTGAAACCTCAAATGCGTACCCTTGTTCCCATAAACTTTACAGCTTAATGGAAACATCACACACTTTAAAAAATGAAATGATTTCAAATAAAAAATAGTTTGCATATCTAAATACAAAAAATTACTGGCAAACAGCTCGAACTGATTCTTACTATCGGCTGAAATAGGAAAAACTATATTAAATGAAATCACGCCGAGAAAGGCAGATCTCCACTCCTTTTTACTAATTCTAATGGCAATTGCGTTTTCTGGTTTTACTTTCTGCTACCCCGTTTACAGAATTTCTAGTTTAATTCATGAACATGTATGTGAACCTGTCTGGTTCTGCTCTCTGACTATGTCTCTGATGACGAATTCACGACGGCTTTCGAACCGTCAAGCGAATAAAAGTATAGCCCTAGCAATCGATTCGACTTATTCACACAGGGACTTAATGTCTGCACTCGCCTCGGTATCATCTAACAACTGCAGCCCCGCACCTCTAAAAAAAGAGAAACCTCGCAAAGTATTTATCACGGCAGTGAAAGCGTATTTTCTATTTTAGATGTTATTTTACTTAGATTTTTGTAGATCTTTCTTCTAAAATACTACTTACACCAAATCAAGAGAATGCTGAGTAAGGATAAATTACCTGTTTTTAGGCAAATATGTTTACAGAGAAGTCTTGTCTAGGCACTTCTATAGTTTTAAATATCAATAAATTCTGAAGGACAAGATGCAATCGCTGGAACAAGAATCGTGTTGGCCTGACCTTTTGGATTCTCGTTTAAAATCATCATCAGGGACAAACTTTTTCCGCG